AGCTTGTTTATACATTTATCTATAATATTTGAACATAGAGCATATATACATATAAACATAAAAATGAGATTTAAGAGACGGTTGATAATATTGTTCCTGATTTTATGATAATTGATCAGCATAGAAATTGATTCATCTAAACGTTTGACTTGAATCAAGTCACTTGATACAATTATCATGTTAAAAGATCTAATTTTATATTTGGTTTTGTTTATAAAATATTCTCTCTAGTCTTAATCGTTTCATCTTAAATATTATCGGTAATATAAATTGTTGAAATATTTAACAACCTTACTGAATTTAACTAATTACAAATTAATTTTAATTAGCTCATCATATATATATATATATATATGTATATACCTATGTATAAATTGTAATTTTTTTTCCCCTTCATAAAATGTATTACAGAAAATATTTTTACAAATTATGTTATTCGAAATATAGGTACTATTTTTATGTATTATACTATTAAGTGTTTTAAAAAGTTTTTGATGTTAAGTTAATTCACTGTGATGTCAAACAATTAATGATGTCAATTAAAGTTTTTAATTGTTTATGAAACCGATAATAGAACTAATTATTTATAAATAGTTATAATAATAAAATGATAAAATCGTTTTGTAAGTATATTTATATATTTCAATATTGTTGCTTATAAGTATATCAAAATCGTTTCTCGATAGAGAATCCATATCGCAAAAATTAATTGACCTATTTCATTATACTATGTGATATAATGAACATAAAGTGTAAGAGTTCTGTAATATTCATAGTAAAGTTTTTGGTCTGAAACAAAAACCTGTTTGTTAAGTGTTTATGAAACTTGAATGGTAAATTATAGTTTTCCTACAGACTCGATATAACCGAGAAGATATTATCATGGTTAAACTTCTATTTTTTGCTAACATTATCCAACCATGCCATTATTTGTTTTTGCCAATAATGAACTAGTAAATATTTATAGTTATAAAATAAATTGAAATCGTGAACGATAAACACGGAACACATAATCAAAATGCAAATTAATATATTATCGCCAAAATAAGTTTCACCAAATTTTAAAGTCGAAAATTTTTATTCATACTATATAATTCTCCAATGAGGCACATCTAGGTTTATGTGGGGAAGCACTAAACCATTAACAACATGAACCATATAATAATTTCAGTCCATGCACCCCGTACCATAGTTTCTGTCCATTGGTACGACATAAGTACCATAATCTACAAAGCTTTACAAATCAAAAATTTTTAATTACTATTACAATAAACTAAAACAACACCAAGTTCCTCTTATATCCCATTTATCCTCGCTCGAACTACCTGAAAACACTCCTCGTCGCCTCGAAAGACTAGGACTGATTAAATTTATTAGTTCGGCAAGTTTCACTAGATAACCTCCCACATCATGCCATTCTATTATCTATATAAATCATTGTACATATTTGTTTTTGTTTGCTAATTATGTTTAATTATATATAACAAAAAAGTCCCACTACTGATTTCCTTCATTGACCTACACTAACACGTGCTCTATTAATTCTTATAATTATTTTGTGCTATCGCGACTGGTCCAGCTACTGCCTAGTTCTTATCGAGTTACGATGGCTCATTGAGAGCTTATATTTATTAAAAGTGTTTTTTAATCAACTACTACACCATGTAGTCGTGAAAGTTGTAGAATGCTGTGTGTATCTATATTTTCAATAAATTACATGTGTATAAATCAAAATATAACAGTGTACTAATACGATTGTTATAATTGTTGTCTGTATATCCACGACCCTATAGTTAAAATATCTTCGTGATTTTGGAATTGCTCTTTATGTAATTTTTTTTTAAATTCACGCATGTTTATCTTTTCTCGAATACATTTTCGTAAATTACATGAAATGCACGTAGATTACGTATTTTTTGGGTTGCATGGTCTCTACCACGACATTTTTAATTCCACTTTTACGCGTGTAATAATCAGATCTTGTACCTACTACGTATACGTAACTTAACTAAAATGCTTTCTATTTAATACAGTTATGCATATGGTGAGCCATTAACAGCGTAGTTATAAAGAAAAAAAATCCCTGTTCATTAGGTAATTAAATATGATTCTATCCTAAAATGGTGAAATTGCAAACATTTTATAAAAATAAAAATAAAACTTTGAAGTTAAATGTTGTTAATTTATATTATAAAAATATATGGAAAATACATTTGTAACTTTAATTTTATTGTATAGTTATAGGAATACTTACGAAAAATGAAAATATAAACAATCCTAATTCCGATTTATGCTTTTCATTGTATTTTATTCTTGTTTTATTAACGGGTCAAATAATACTATGCCGATTTGAATGACACGCGAAACGATTGTTAAACATAGTGAAATGTAAAACGTGTAAAAATATTTTCAAACCCGGAGATAATTTGATATTTCCGATACAAGATAAACGGTGTGAATTGTCATTTGTCCATCGCACCGTTGCACATAAAGTGCGGCGAATAGTGCGTATTATAAATATGACCTTTATTTATGAGTATAATTTATTGATTTTATTATATACTAGTTTTCAATTAATAGTGGCCTGGTAAACGTTATCATTAAGTATAAATAAATAATGTTTGAACAGCGATACACGGTACAACCTACGCCAACAAATTATTATTATAAATTTCAGCGGTGCATTTTCGCTGGGAACTGTTCGGCCGAGCTTTTTAAGCTGATACATCTCGATGTTTTTTCATACGCAGGACGGATTGAAATCTTTTAACCGCTGCGGTCCAACCACCAAATTTATAGATCTTCTTAAAACAATAGCACCGCAGAAAGCTGGTGGTGAGTTAGTAAACTATGCTAATATAACTTGTGCCTTAAGAGGGAGTGAGGTGGAAACCAGCTACCGCTGTATATATATAACTACGTATACGAGACCACGACCGAACGATTTTCTATAAAAGAAAAGTTTTTACACCGGATCGGAATGCACTCGACCTGATATATTTACTCGACGAGCAACGTGGGCAACGTACCGAAAATCAAACCCGACGATATTGTAATATATTCACCTTTTTTTTTTTTCTTTCTTTTAAAAAAAAATCAGTAAGTCGTATTTGCGCACTCGAAGTTGAAATATATATCACCCTCGCTGCCATCACTGAGCAATGTTCATTGCTGTCCTTTGACAGGTCAAAGGTGTACGATGTTGTATCATAATAGGCCATATAACCTGAGTGATTTTCCAAAGGGACAGAAACGCGTTTGTGAAAAGCAAAAACTGTACGCGTGACAACAATAATGTACGTAGAAATGTTGTCCGTCTTCGAGGTACACGTTACGTAGGACTAAATCACTGTAAATAGAAGTAAAAATAAACGATTTACTTCATTCGGTCAGTCATTAGTCATTTATTGTGTGCGCGTTTCTATACTGGCCTTATTTTAAGGGATTGTAATATTATTATATCTTTGAGTTTGACAAGAAAATGAACTTCAAGCTATGTTTTCGATAACAAGCAAAAATGGGAACTTCGGTTTACAGATGCACGGGTAATTTCGGTTCAAAATAGATTATGACTAATGATATAAAGTTATAAAATTACAAAACATGTTAAATCGTACACTGTCCATATTGCAGCAAAGTCTATCCTGATCTAGAGTGTTATACGTCTTGGTATCTATACCAAATTCACTAATACCCAGACAATGGAGTAAATAACTCTAGGTAATGACGATATAACCGTTTGAATAGTCAATATTAACGAAGTAGGACACGTACTTGATGAAATGTGATTTCACTTATTCACCACTGTTTGTTTGAACGTCGTCAAACGATTTAAATTCAAATTTATCAAATATATCTATTGTTCCTCGTCTATGTATTTTATCTCGAGTTTTCGATGCAGCTAAAATGTGTTGGGGAATACGAATAGTCTTAATACGAAAAGCTCGTGATTAATACTTGATTATTTTACAGATGAGAATTCAACGAACTTTAATTTTTTATACAGATTTCATCAAATATTACTTAATCAGAAAGTGTACCAGGATAATGTTGAGTACCTTAATAAAGTAATACCCGGTGTGTTACGATAGAGAAAGACCCGACAGTACTGATTTATTTTAATATCCAATTTATCGTACGTTTCTAATGTTTACACTATTTCAAAATATTTTTCTGAAGTAAAATCTATGTAATTAAAACTGGAATAGTGATGATAACATTCATGTCCGACGGAGATGCGCCAAGGACACATATTATCTGCCAATAGAAAACGGGCAAAAAAAAATGGTAAAACACTAAAACTTATTTATCAGCTGTGGACAAACAGTACCTAACTAATTGTATTATAATAGTATTGAATTTGTGTTTAATATCATGAGTGACATGCTCAATATTTACACACACATACATATTCACCTCATTAAATTCCTCAAAGAAATCGGACTCCAGGAATTATTTTTTTTTTTCTAAATAAATCTTATATTCAAATATTTATGTATTACAATAACTAATTAACAAAAATTAGATTAAATTAAGATTAAAAATAAAAATGTAACTAATGGCCGTAGCTGCCGAAGTCATTTAAACAAGATCATTAAAAAAACATTTATATTCCTTACTTTTTATTTAACTATGCAAATTGCACTTTTTCTTTCTATTATATTATTAAACCACACTTTTATAGGAATATGTTATTATTTCATAACATTTTATGTATCGTTCAGAATGTTTCATATTGTATATTATTGTATTTTATGTGATTTAAATGTATACATTGTATATGATATATTTATATTTTAAATTTTATGACAAACAAGTCTGAATATTTACACTGTAAATGTATGCAGGCTAATCTGCAGGCAACCTTTGAATGTCGGGCGGTCCGATTCAATAAAATTCTTTTGCTCTCGTCTAGATACTAGGCGATCGTTCCTAACAACGGAGCCTAATACAATTAGGAGACGATCGATTTGCGTGCATTATAATAAATGTCTATTTACCGTTCTGTCGGACACATGTTTGACCCTGCAATGGAGAACGGCAGTCTGACCCACAACAGCAGTTACGTTGTGCGGCGAAATGTCGTCGAACAGTGGTCTCTGCACTGGTGTCCCTTTTTGCGACGTCGGCTGTACGTTTTGCAGCAGTAAGCCGGACTCCATCGAAACTAGAACAAAAAAAATAAATACGAAGACATTATTAATTTCCGTAAAATCGATCGTACGTCGATTTCCACTTCACAGCAATTCGTACGGTTTTCCGGCGTTCAACATCGTCGTTCATGGTCATGACGCGGCGGTGCGATCGGGACCCACGACTCTCAGACCTTATACGAACACCGTGTTTTTAACGAATTCGCAATACCGCGCTGATAATTGTCTTAGATTTCAAGGCTGTTGATGGTGTAAACGAAAATGCGTCCGGTACACGTGAGAGATTCATGGCGGTTCAGGATTGTTGACCAGGATCTGATCGACCGTGGCGCAATCGAATCGAATATCAGTTTATCGCGCACTGTGGTAATTCCACTGTCCCTACCAGTGTTTTTGTCGACGTCCCGTGCAAGATACAAATCAATTACTATTATGATAATACGATATAGCGGTATCCCGTAAACGGGGGGCGTGGTAATAAACCGTCACGGACGAGTGTCAAAAAGGCGAACTGCATTATTTTTAATAGATTAAAAGATGAAATAATAGAAACACGCACTGCACAGTAACAGATGATAAATCACACGTTAGAATTTGAATGATTCCGGGGTCTGTTCAATTATTGTTTATCAAACGAATATTAAATAGTAAATTTATCATAAGATATGGTAATAACTCGTGGTACACCTACTCGTGGGTTTCCAGTAAAAAAAAAAAAAAATAAATAAAGGACCAATGAAATACAAATGTTCTGATTTCAATCACGGTAGAAAATAATTGCAAGAATGTACATTTTTACAAAATAATACGAGATGAAAATAAATCTTTGTGACATTGTTCACGGCTTACTTTACGAATTTCAAACTTAATTTGATTTTTGTCTATTGTTCACGATATAATAATATAACCCCGCTATAACTTTTACACAATGCAGCCGCGTTGTTTTTAGTAACTCCTTGTTCGAAATAATGTACCAAAAGAAAACATTACTAAATAGGGTACAATATTGTCCGTATGTAATGAAGCAAATAAAATAAAAACAACGTAGAGGTATATAATATTTAGGTACGCAATTTATTTCAATTCGGTTTTACTTCGTTTCGATCCGAACTTTTATTTTCTATATAGAAATATCAATCGTAGTACTATCCACGACATTTTTCAACACTACGGACAACAATTACCGGCACGTGTTCGAAGAATATTTTGGCGATTGTCCATTGAACGTATGTTTTTTCCCTTAAAAAACATGATGCAAATACATTGTATGAAATTATAATTATATTCTTCGTAAATTAGAATTATGAAACACGGGATCATGCCTGATATTTTTATGCAACGGACGTAAACGTTCATCGGTAAATCATAGGTTCATAACTTTGGATAATAAATGGCCATAAACAGTAAAAAAATAAAAAACAAAATTATGGATGACAAACGTTCATTGATCACAATTAAATATAACTGCTATATAGAACATCCTCGATATTATGTATTAATTATATTTTACATCCCACATACGTTTGTGATGAGAGGAATCGACTGAGTATGTATTTATTTAATACGTAGTGAAAAATGTCGGTAAGAAAACACAAGATACAGATGTAATGTTATACAGTAAAATGTATATTTGCTTTTCGCGATCAATGTACGATTGCAGTCTCAACAATTACGTTAATTATGAATTGAACAAATACCATGTTTTTTTCGCTGAGCTAGAATTATGTATCGTTGTAGTTCAACGATACGGCAAAATAACTGAAAATATTTCGTATTGATGGATAAAACTAATAAAATTTCAATCGTTAGCCGACGGTTAAAATATCACAAAACAACTGACGAACGGGTTGTAAAAATAAACGGTCAACGCGCATAGCCATTAAAACACATGATCTACGTGTTATTTTACGGCTACAAATTTATCATTTTTATTTTACACGTTTATCGATAGCATTCGATTTTCTTACGTGCCACATGGGATCGATTTCGGCAGACATTTTTTGGATTTAATCGATGGATAACGTCTTATTTCGGTTCCAGTGTTCGGCTTGCGGCTCCGATCGGTTTTCCTTTTTTTTTTCCATTAATCGCACATTGTCCCGAAGAGGGTGTACGGTTATCATACACGGCGCATCGTTGACGTCGTCGGACCACGGCTCGGGGACTATAGAACTCCTTTGCACTCGGTCCCCGGGAAACACGCGGTGTCACGACAATAAACGAATTTCTATCGATTTAATACTGCTATTCGATTCCGATGCCATAAAGACGAAATTGAAAAGTTTTCTAGGAGCCACAAGACTGCTTACGAATACCCAGTGGCATGCGATATTCTGAGATGACGTAGACGGAAGAAAAGTTTCCGTTTTTATTGGTTTATGAGCGGGTACAATAATCGGAAAGCGGCTAGATCTCAAAGTACGGGTACTTCATTCTGCGACTCGTACCCAGGATGAAAGTAGTTTATCGGATTTCAGGTGCACAATAATTATGCTTTAAAATGCGTGTTCTTGCGCAGAAGACATATCATTAAACGGTATCGATTCATTGATTATGCAAGGTAAACGGTTGTGTAGAAAAAAAAAAAAATTAACTGTTTTTTCTTTCTTTTTTTGTCCTTAATTACGAAAATAGCGAATAACTAATACGAATAACGAGTTTAAATCGATTCAAGTTAACATATTCTTAGTCGCTAATAACATTTTATAAGTTAATGCATTTCGAATGACATACACATAATTAATGATTTTAACCGCAGCACTTTTACTGAGCTTAATTCTAACTGTATACGCAGACTAAAATTTTACATTTCACTAAAGATGTTTTACCTTCACATTAATTAATAACGAGCAAAAGTAAATAAAATCATTAACTCGAGTCGTAAACCTAATGTTTATCGATATCATTGAAGTAGTTAAACATTCATCATTCATCGCTGTCTGCAAGATGCAATAGATGAAATTAGATTTTATAACAATGATGTCTACGTTTTCGTTCTCTTAGATTAAATTAAGGTCTTAATAGGGACAATGGTTGACATACAATTGTTGACCTACTAAATTATTTGTGAATTCCCAATATTTCTCGTAATAATAATATGTCTCTTTGTGGTTTGAGCAGTGACATATAGTACATATATATAACTAATAACTTACTGTTATAGTACCAAAACTGATAGAAGTGGTAATCGAAAACGAAGACTCCCAAAACATTGCACGATGATAAAAAGTGATAAACTCAAATTGCGAGACGTAACATTTCAGATCAAGAAAAAGTAAATACTTTTAACCACGTTACCTCGGATCAATTTAGAAAATTCGAGCTATAACCAAGTTCCAGAAAGATAAAAATATTGTAAGTATCTATGTTATTTATTATGTTGACTACTTGAAAAATTATATATTATATTTACTTGGTCGAAAAATGAAGTCTACCGTTCTAGATAATACGATATTTACGATATTTATGTATTTTGTATTCAAAGAAATAATGATCTGTTTATTTTCATTGTCAATATATTTTCTAAACTGACCGTTAAAAGTTGTATGTAATGCCTCATCAGATTGAACATTTAACCCGAAAGCTATGCAGCAGGTAGTTTTTACCGAACACATATGATCATACGTGTTTCCTCTCTAACATTAGTAAAGTACATTTGTGTTTAAGCGAAAACTAATACGTATAATTATAAAGCAATTTGTATTTTTTTTTTTTTGAGCTGTTCTATTTTTAGCTATATATTTTTAAGAACATAAATTAAAACTAAATTGATCGTTTTCAAAAAATCGGAAGATTATTATCATAAATCATGATCAGAAATTTTCTAATTATTTAATCAAACAAAAATTGACTTATTTTCTGTTATTACATGTATAAAATGTTATTAAGTTAATGATTCGGTCAAAATTTGGCAATTAGGTAGGTACAAAGTTTTGTATTTTTATGGCTTGTGTTACCAATATACACCTAAAATTCGTGTTTTCGTGATTTTGTAAAACCTTTGGAAATTATTTTTTTTTAAATAAACAGTAATTTAATGTGTATATAAGTCCATATTACAGAACCATTTCGAATGCAATAATATATTTTTGTTTGCACGCTTTTATTCAAATATCAACCTAATAGGTACCATTTTCTTTAATAACCCACACACATTTTTACTCAAACTCAAAACCCTTCCCTGAAATGTTTTTAAATAAAAAAAAGTAATGTTGGGTAAATAATCGGAAGTAGATTTTGTATTTATCGACTTGTTCTTTCCGGTTTTTTTTTTAAGAATTTATAAAAAATAATTTATATTAGATATATTAAAGTTCACCCTACGAGTTAAACAACAGTTTATCCTTTTTTAATTTTTCTGTTAATCTAATTTAACTTAAAAACTCTAAAATATTACATCAGTCGAAAAGGGTAAGTTTTTATTTAATCAACTCGATAGAAAAAAAAAAATCTTTCTACCTACCTATATTATATTATTTTGATTCACAAGAGGCAATTGTAAATGTTGACTGTGGTAAATCGATACTGACGTCTTCTCTCCAAACAAAAATCATAATATATAAAATACAAATAAAGTAAATGCTGAAGGTTAACGCATGACGATTTATTGTTATTGCGTACTTGTAATTTGTGCATATTTTCGAGTTTTCTTTTTTTACATATTATAATATACATGGAAAAATATATGGTGTTTAAAAATAACTTATTTATACATTCCATTGAGTACAGTTTTGAAATAAAAATTGTTTCGGTAGTAATAATATTATTATTTTAATACTGAATATTTGGCGATCGGAATATTAATAAATACATATAATTATATACGTACTATATACCCAGTGCGGTTTTATAAGAGAAGGTCCAAGAGTTATTGAATTCTCTATTATTACATTATTATTTTATTTTAGATATGTTTTTTGTTGGAATTTAAAAATAATTATTAAATGTGTAGTTATAATATTTTATAGTATTCGGTATTTCTAAAAACCTAGATGAACAGTGTTGAAAAATCTCA